TTTTATAAGGATATAGATCATCATGCATTTAAAATGATTTATAAAAGGTGCTATGTTCATGGGGCTTCCCTGGTAGCCCAGCTGGTAAAGAATCAGCCTGCAATGCAGGAGACCCTGGCTCAATTCCTAGGTTGGGAAGTTTCCCCGGAGAAGGGATAGGCTAACCCACTCCAGTATCCTTGGGCTTCCCTGGTGGCCCAACTGGTAAGGAATCTGCCTGCAATGTGGGAGACCTGGGTTCAGTCCCTGGGTTAGGAAGATTTCCTGGAGAAGGTAACAGCTACCCACTCCAGTATTCTTTCCTGGAGAGTCCCCGTGGACTGAGGAGCCTGGAGGGCTACAGTCCATGGGGTCACAAAGAGTCAGACACAACTAAGTGACTAATCACATGTTCATTAGCAAAAATTTCATTTGAGCTTTAAACCCATTTTTGATGGTATCAAAGTTACAATTAGAGGGTCAGGTTTTCAGGACATGGAACGAAAGTTCTTCAGGTGCTTCTGCACCTGAAGTATTACACAGATAAAATCAAAAGTAAGTAAGAAGCACAATGATGTAGAGGTATAAACTCTGAAACCAGACCACCTGGTTAAATCCCAGTTCTGCTTTTTACTGGCTGACTGACATTGGGCAAGTTACTTAATATCTTTCTCTCTCAGTTTAATCAATAACATGGAGGTGATAGCGTTGTTATGAAGGTTAAATAAGTTAATCCAAGCAAATTGCTTAGAGAGTGCCCAGGACCTGTAAGTGCTCAATAAAGGCTCAAAGAATTTTAACTGAATTAAATTGTAAAAGGAAAGAAAGTTAGTCACTCAGTTGTGTCCATCTGTTTGAGATCCCATGGACTGTCGCCCGCCAGGCTCCTCTGTCCATGGAATTCTCCAAGAAGGAATACTGGGGTGGGTAGCCATTCCCTCTCCAGGGGATCTTTCCCACCCAGGGACTGAACCTGAGTCTCCTGCATTGCAGGCAGATTCTTTACTGTCTGAGCCGCCAGGGAAGCCCTCATTGTAAACATCTCGTGAACCCGTCTTGAGGACCTCACCATTCAGTTATGACTTGGATATTGTCTGAAATGCGTTCCACAGCGTTTGTCATACGGTGAGAAGGCATCAGGAGTGCCTCACCCCGTGTTTACTGCAGCCCACGAGGGTACCGAGGAGCCTGGACGGCTGAGGGCTGTGGGGGACTGAGAAACCTGGGGGGACAAGCGGGGAAAAAGAAACAGCACATACCGTGGCTCCCACACTCCATGTTTCTGCACCCCTCAGTCCCAACAGGAAGTCTGCCCCACTGCGTGCCTCCAAAGAGGTTCACAGGGGCACAGCTCCAGAGCCAGGCAATGCACTCCTGTAGAGAGAGAGCTCTAGTTTTAGAATCAGACAGTTTAAGACCTGAGACTTTTACTGTTAATATGACATGGACCTGTTTGTTTATTTCTCCTAACCTTAAATTCTTTATCAGTAAGGTAGGCATAATAATACCTAATTTTGTTTTTGTGAAAATTACACGAAATAATACATGTAGTGTTCTTGGCCCATGGTCTCACACACTAAGTGCTCTGACTAAAAATACATATTGCTGATATTGCTGTTATTTTTGCATATAACTGGTGAAATCTGGTTCTCCACAGCCCCAAAACATCTAGGGAGGTGATTTGAGACCAAGAGTCATCTGCAAATTCCATGTTTGGATTCTTTTAAGATATAGCATGCTTCCCACTTCATCCAAAATTCTGGCCTGATTCCCTCAGTCAGTGGTTTATAACCTTGTCCATGCGAACTGAACAGAATTGATATATTTGAATTGTCTGGAGAGCTTTAAAAAATGCTAACCCAGGCTACAACCCAGACTATTTATTTCAGAATATCTGAATATATTAAGATATAGTTTATATACAGTTAGATACACCCATTCTATGTGTACAGTTCCGTGAAATTTGACAAATTTGCATACTTATGTAATTACCACCACTTTGCCTGTTTTAAAATTGTATATAAATGGAATCATAGCTTTGGTACTTTGCATATCTGGCTTCCTTTGCTCTACATGTTTTGAGATGCAGTCAATTTATTGAATGTATTTGTGATTGCCTCGTAATATTCCATTACATGGATTTACAACAATTTACTTATGCATTTACCTATTGATGGACATTTGAGTTGTTCCCAGCTTGGGGATATTATGAATAAGTGCTTATGAATGATCATTAATAGGCAAACTTTTATGTAGACATGTTTTAAATTTTCTTAGGTAAATACCTATGATTGGAATTGTGGTATAACGTGGTTTTAGAGCTTGACCTGTTTTTAAAGTTCTCATGGTCCTTCATGTGAAGCCCATGGTATGTTGGAGCACTCCTGGATGGGTGTGTGTGTAGAAGACAGGTGTGGCAGTTTTGGCCATCCTGATGTCACTCACTGTTTGCAGTCACAAGATCCCCGAATCTTCCTAGTGGTTTCACCAGCTCCTGAGCTGTCTTCTGTGATTTGATATGACAGAGAGCTGCTGCATGAGTTAATGAGATGTTTTAAAACAAAGCTAATTTATTCAGCAATGTTTTTTAAGCATATACCTAATACCAAATGAAGGGAACACAGAAATGACCATCACAGCTCCTGCCTTTGGGGAACTTGGATGACCAAGATGAAGTAAGCAAGTACAGTATTTTCTGCCAGATGTTATGGCATAGTTCGAAGAACATCATAGAAACTGCCGGTTAAAACATTCTATTGAATGACCCAACTTTCCTTGTTATGCAGCTAATGCCTTTGGCAAAGGTCAGAATCTGCTCCATTTTAGGATGTAAGTATTGTTAGTAGCCTGCCTATGTTCCTTTGTTGTTGTTCAGTCACTAAGTCATGTCTAACTCTTTGCGACCCCGTGGCTGCAGCAGACCAGCCTTCCCTGTCCTTCACCCTCGCATCCTGCTTTCAGTCTTTCCCAGCACCAGGGTCTTTTCAGTGAGTCAGCTCTTCCCTTCAGGTGGCCAAAGTATTGGAGCTTCAGCTTCAGCATCAGTCCTTCCAATGAATATTCAGGGTTGATTTCCTTTGGGATTGACTGGTTTGATCTCCTTACTATCCGAGAGACTCTCAAGAGTCTTCTCCAGCACTACAATTCAAAAACATAAATTCTTCAGTGCTCAACCTTCTTTATGGTCCAACTCTCACATTCATGCGTGACTACTGGAAAAACCATAACTTTTAAAAAAATTTATTTATTTTTTTAGTTGAAGGATAAATGCTTTACATAATTTTGTTTTAACTCAAAGAGTTAAAATGGAAATAATTGGACAAGAGAGAAGAAGCGGGAGGACCAAAATCCATTGGCACCATGGATGGCTCTGTTGGGCTTTCAAGGCTTTGGCCAGGACTGAACAGTAACTTCCTTCAGTCTGTCGGCAACTCCAGTGTTTCAGTAGCAGGTTCTAGGCCAGATCCACACACTGTTCATCTGCTCAGTCTTAAAGAGTTACACCTAGTCTGGCTTCCCAGCCCAAGAGATTTTGTCCTCCTTCTCCTCCTCCCAGGACCCTTCTCTTGGATTCTGCAGAGAATAAGTGGCCTTTACAAGGGATGTGCTCTCATAAGGTATTGGAACACTCCTCAGAACCCTAGCTCTTGCTTTCACCTCTATCCATCCTTAAAATGTATGTATCTTTTGACTCAGAAATCCAACTTATGGGAATCTCTCCTGCACACATAATCACATGCACATGGGCATATAGGAGCAAGTATGTACATTGATCATTGTTAGTAATAGTGAAAAATAAGTCTAAGTGTCTAACAGTGATGCTTAATTTTAGTGTATATGCAATATGAAATACAGCTCGTGGAAATGATGAAGTAGATCTGTGTATGTGAACACAAAAATGTGTCTGTGATACATTGAGGGAAAAAAAAGTTTGGAACCAATAAGTAGGAAATGGTCCTATTTAAATTTTTTTCAGAAATCAGTCATCTTGAGTAGTGGGGAGGTGGGAGGTGGGAGGCGGGAGGCAGGGAGTTCCTCTACTTAAAGGTCTGTAGGATGCATTTGTCAAACTGTTGATAGTGGTTACCCCTGGGGAAATAGATCATAATTGAGAATAAAATTGAAACAGAGAAGCTTTCACTTTTTAATTTTGAATATGTCTGAAGTATTTATAAGTTGTAAAACAAGCATGTATTTGTAAATTTTTTTTAAAGCATCCTCCTTTTGGGTTCTGCCTTCTTCTGTGTTGGGAGTCAGGGTCCCAGCCTGGGAGCCTCCGGCATAAACTTTCATAAGAGCAAAATTTGGCTCCAATGCAAAGACAGACTTAGGTTCTAAGAAGAGTTCTCTAGTAGCAACACCACATATCTGGCGAAATTCTTATTTACCAGAGATGAAGAAAAGGAACTGGTACATGAGACACTAGCAGATGAGGAGTAAAGGACTTTATAATACCCAGTAACTAAAATCTGCAAGGTGGTTTGCCACTTCAACTAGTTATTTTAACCATCTGCCTTTTATTTAAAAGAACTTGATGTCATGGGCCTGTTATTATTCAGCTTATACAGAATGTGTTGCAATTATCAGAAATCAAATATTAATGTAGTGGAAGATGCTTGCCATGAAATACCAGTCACACTGCACTCCTGCTTCCTAAGGAGATTGTAGGGACTTGTCCTGAGGAGACTGTACCACCAGTTGTTTGGCCCCTGGGAGAAAAAAAAGAAAGGATAGAGAAGGGGAAGTGAGGAAGATGGTTATACAAGGTGATTCCCAAATCCTAAAGTATCTCATTGCTTTGTAAGCTTTATGACCACAGTAATAATCCCATTTCAGTGGGTAAGCTCAAAAGCTGTATTTCCACCCAAAAGATACTTGAGCTGATAAAATGATTCAGATGTGACACAACCAACCTAAATTCTTAGGGTAACTTGGTTAATGTCTGATTTATTGAAATATATCTCCTTTACTTGTTCTGATATTTCCCTGATAGTCTCTTTTCTGTTTTCTCTTAAAATCAGGTTGAAGAACTACAGCCTGCATTTTCTAAGTCCAATTACATGTTCATGGCCAAGGTAATGAAAACCACTGTTTTAAGATCACTTTGAATCCATTGCACAAAAATGTGTTGCCCTTCATATTATTTTTTTTCATTTCTAGTGTTATGCCGATCTTAATCAAATTGACAATGCTGTGAAGTTCTGTAATTTGGCGGTGTTGCTTCCTTGTATTACCAAAGAGGTAAGTCCACACAGTAACAAGGAGCACTGTTTATTTTATTAGTGCAGTTCCAGCCTCAACTATGAGTAAGTGGCTCAGATACATCTGGAGTTTTTTTTCCTATCCTCAAAGATTTTAACTTGGATTTAACATGTACTATGAAGTTTTAAAAACTGCTATAGATAACCCTTCACCAGGAGACCCCTTGTATCTTTAATAGGCATGAAAATCCGGTGTGGGCTAGCAGTTAAGATACGGTGATGCTCGTTGGGTGTTACGCAGCAGGGAGTAAGGCCCCAGGGGAAGGTTGGAGGAAGGTGTAAGTCTGCAGAGCTGGTGATTACACTGGGGGAGGCAGCTAGCAAGCTAGACAGGCCGCCGCCCCGACAGCAGGAGGAGGTCCAGGCAGTGGTCCCGTCAGTCCCCAGCGCCCAGCAGGCTCTGACTGTCCGAGGCCGTGGAGAGGACTGAAAATATGTACTAGCATTTTCTCGGTCTTTGAACACCGTTCATGAAAAAGAAGCAGTCGTATTACTCCTTGCCTTTTTTCCCACTAATTCAGAATTCTGGATGTGCTCTAAGTTTTAGGGATTTCACAGCATTAACAAGCTCGGTCTGTATTCCTGTATACAGGTATTGTGGGAACAAAAAGAAACAGATAAATGTTTCCTGTTCCCATCTCATGTGCTGTGCTGTGCTCATTCAACTCTTTGTGACCCTTTGGGCAGGCTCCTCTGCCCGTGGGATTTTTCAGGCAAGAATACTGGCATGGGTTGCCATTTCCTTCTCTAGGGGAATCTTACCAATCCAGGGATCAAACCCGCGCCTTTTGTGTCTCCTTCATGGGCAGGCGGATTCTTCACCACTGAGCCACCTGGAAAGAAAACAGCCCTCCTTCTCCAGAAGACAGTTTGTGTAACTTTTTCAGCAGAAAACAGATTGTGTACCCCCAGGTTGCTTGCTCCTTTTTAGTGGTCAGGACCCTACTGTCTTTCACATCTCTCCTGAGCAATGCCAGTTTGGGTTACATGCAGTCATTTTAAACTAAGTGTCTATGCATTCTTATTAGAAACTTAAAGTGAACGTCGCTCAATCATGTCCTACTCTTTGCGACCCCATGGATTATACAGTCCATCAAATTCTCAAGGCCAGAATACTAGAGTGGATAGCCATTCCCTTCTCCAGGGGATCTTCCCAACCCAGGGATCAAACCCCAAGTCCCCCACATTGCAGGTGATTCTTTACCAGCTGAGCCACCAGGGAAGCCTATGCATTCTTATTAGAATACAAGATTAAAATGCAACATGATAATGAGGTATAGTACCTGGTGTGAAATGCAGGTATCTATGCATGACATTTAGGGCTCTCACAAGAGGGCCAAATTGATGAGCTTCAGACTTTGATCCTTGGTTGCTAAGTCTTCTCTCCCTTTCCTCCTCCTTGCCAGCCAAACTTATCCTCCATGGCTTCAAATGCTACATACCTACCAGGGATCCTCAAATGTGTGTCTCTAGACCTCCCCTCTGAGTCTAGACCTGATTATCCAACATCCTGCTTGACATCTCCGCTTGGATGACTCACAGACATCTCAGACTCAACTCATCATTAGGCCTTTGCATCCGCTCTCCCTCCATCTGCCCCTCTCAGTAAATGGCACCTCCACCCCCCTAACTAGGAAAGCTGGGAATGCTCTTTGACTCTTCCTTGTCTCTCAGCCCCCCAAACCAGATGTCTCCCCAGTCACCAAGTTCTCAGAGCTGTTCTAAAACATGCCTTGGGTCATCCAGCTACGTGCGTGCTCTCTCTCTCCACCATCTCGCTCTCCGGCCAGCCCTCCAAGCAGGGCACCGTCCTCTCACCTGAGCTACAATCATGTAAGCCTCCCAGCTGGTCTCATAGCCTCTTGCCCCGGCTCCATCACTGTTGGCTCTCAGTGTCAGCCAAAGCCATAGATTAAACATAAACCTCACACGGCACTTCCTTGCTTGAAACACTTTGCTTTTAGGATGCGTTCAGAATTTTTAGCATGCCTTTCGGGGCTGGCGCCTCCCAGTCTCTCAAGCTTCATGGTTTCCCTCCCTCCTCCTCTGCGCCGTGTTCCTCCCACCTTGCACCCTTGGCATTTGGTGTTCCCTCTTTCTGAAACATTCCCTTACGAACCACCCTCCACTCCCTTCATCCTTCGGGCCTTACCATAAATGGCATTTCTTCAGGAAAGACTCTCTTGGCACTCTCAGGCTAGAAGGTACCTCATGCTTTTCCTTCTTGTTATTTGGCACGGTTGTGATTCTATAGTTATTTGCGTGGTTGTTCCATGAAAGTAGCAACTAGGTGTTTTTCATTCATCACTCTCTTCCTGGTACCAAATGTAGTGCCCGGCATATAACAAGGACTCCATAAGTATTGGTAGGAAGGCTCCAAAGACTAACACCTTACAAAAGAAAAAGAGTAGCGCTGACAGTAATACTGAGTAGCTGCGCTGTGCTGAGTCACTCAGTCGTGTCCGACTCTCTGCAACCCCATGGCCTGTAGCCCCCCCAGGCTCCTCTGTCCATGGGGATTCTCCAGGCAAAATTACTGGAGTGGGTTGCCACGCCCTCCTCCAGGGGATCTTCCCAACCCAGGGATCGAACCCAAGTCTTCCACGTTGCAGGCAGATTCTTTACAGTCTGAGCCACCAGAGAGGTCCAAGAATACTGGAGTGAGTGGCCTCTTCCTTCTCCAGGGGACCTTCTCCATCCAGGAATCGAACCAGGGTCTCCTGCATTGCAGGTAGACTCTTTACCAGCTGAGCTAGTAATAAATGTAGCTAAGAAAGCTGGGCCATGTGGAACTATTTATGTAATAAGCAAAACAACATTAGCAAATATTTCCCACATTACTTATTTTTTGCAGTAATTTATATTCCTAGTTTGTTTTTTTTTAACATGGTTCGGATACTGTCAGGAATATCTCAATTTCTTTTTCAGTTAGAAACTAGAATGAGGCAAGTTATCTGTAGTATCCACTCTCTCTAAAGGTTTTCTAAGTTGAAGTATATCCCATCAGTGATTTCGCTGGGCCAGTTATTTATTTCCAACATATCTAGCTTTGGCATTCGTTACAACAAAGGCAGCTCAGCTGTGGTTTTTCTCTCCCTGTTGTGAACTTGCATAGCATCTGCGGTTCTTTCTGTGGCACTCTTCCTCTCTTCTTGGCATCACAGATATTCGTGAAATGACTTCTGTCCTTATCAAGGAGCCTGGTGCTCGTCACGCAGCACTTAATATTGGGACTGTCAGCCCTCGGGCCTCTGGAGCCCAGATTCGTGCGTGTAAGCTGCTTTATGTTTCCAGAATCTGAAATTACGGTATTTTATTATTCATGTGGACTTTTCTTGACCCTAGAAAGGTAATGTCAGGTCCTGGGAAGCATTCCTTCTTTTAAAGTAAAAGGGATTCCTGTGTCTGAGACAATGTGAGAATGATCACTGAGTGAAATAATGATGACCTCAGTGGCCAGAAAGTTGTTTGCCCAGAGGAAGTGTCCAAGTTACTGGCTCAGAGCAACCTGAGAAAGCTCAAAAAACACTGTGTAAAAAACATTGTGTAAGATTTTGTGTTTCAGTGAGGGATGTGCTAATTCAGTAAAGAAAAAAAACTACTTTAAAAATGTTATAAAACTTTGAAATGACATTCATTGCTCCTCTAAGACAAACTCTTTTTAGACAATAAATACAATGTACCAGAAACAACTACGGGAAGAAGAAATTAAAGCAAGTGATATAGTTGTCTTTGAAATTACTTGTAGTTTAAAGTCCTGGGCTTTATTTACAACCTGTTCTATAGATTGATAATCATCACTTTCCTTAGTAACCACTCTTAGTAAAAAAAAAAAAAAAAAAATCCTAAATTTTTTTTGTTTTTGGCTGCACCACTTGACTTGTGGGACCTTGGGTTCCCCAACCAGGGATTGAACCCAGAGCCCTGGCAGTAAAAGCACTGATTCTAACCACTAGGCAATCAGAGAATTCCCTAAAATCCTAATTCTACTTTAAATATCTTCAGTTCTAAGTTCTGTTTTAATTAAGATCTCATATTTAATTATCTTAGTTAAGACTATCGGTTTTTCATATAATTTAGAAAGTATAGTCAGTCCTCAACTCTTAACCTGTCTTCCTGTTGTAGGGAATCCAACAGTGTTGTCCAGGGTCTCATTTGTTAGAAATTTGTATTTGCCTATCTTTTTCTCATGTAAATGTATTTCTTGTACATTATCTTCTGTGCTATTCTTGCCTGGAGAATATATTCTTCCTTGTACATTAAGAATTTTTTTTTGATAAGGCCATTTTGGAGTGGATACTTTCCCACTATCTGAACAGACATTTCCTGAATTGTAGGTAGGAAGTGTCACTCTGTTTACTTACTCCAATTTGTGCTCTTTTGTCTCTTACCTTCTGTTTATCTGCATTTAAAATATATTATTTCTAAAGTATGCTATGCTGTGCTAAGTTGCTTCAGTCGTGTCCGACTCTGTGCGACCCCATGGACAGCAGCCCACCAGGCTCCCCTGTCCACGGGATTCTCTCTCTATATATATATATATATATTATTTATTAAGCTTTCTCAGTATCTAATGGCCTTAGCATATAAAAAACACCTTAAAGAAGTTTTTTAGCGTTCCTTATAATTAATTTTTTTTAATATGCTGTTTTAAAAAAAAAAGAAACTAATGACTTGATGGACATGAGTTTGAGTAAGCTCTGGGAGTTGGTGATGGACAAGCAAGCCTGGCGTGCTGCAGTCCATGGGGTCACAAAGAGTTGGACACAACTGAGCAACTGAACTGAACTATGATTAATTTTCTTAAAATAACTGTTGATATAGCATCAGTTTGGGATCAGTCATTTTTGACCAATATGCAGTCTAGTAAAGTTGATGTTTGATAAATCATTATTCAAATGCCCAGAGTATAATGGCTTAGTATAAATAAGTCTCTCTCTTATTTGTCCGAAGTCTGTAGTAGACAACATTGATGTATTT